AATTAAACAGGGCAATTGAAAATTTGGGGAAGAACACGAAAGAAGATAACATCGAGGAAAGTGGATAAAACTAAAGCGGCCCAAAATCACTACTTCGGTTTGGCCCGAAAAATATCCCTATAAATGAAATGAGCTGGACCCCAGATTTTTAGACCAGCATTGTTTTATTTTTATCTAGTCCTTATTCTTTTTGCAATTTTCACACTTCATTCCTTATTTTCTTCCCGTGTAACAATTAAACCCATATTTCAAAACATAAAAGCACCATACAGTATTTTGTTTACCAGATATAAAAAAAAACTCTACCATATAATGGTGTAGGGTAAAAGCAAACATTGAGAGAAATATATAAGTTTTTATCATATACTACTCTTTAGGCAGATTCAGACATTTGTTGTATCATCATACGTTACAACAAGAATCATGAATTAATCAAAAAAATACTCAATACTATGTTATATATATAAAAAAAAGACATAGTTGCTCGAAGTTGGCTACTTCATGCCACTCAAGGCCTATCCTTGGGCCATGAATACAGAGGCTTACCAATGGAGTAGACGATAAACCCAATCTCACGCAGCTTCACTGCATCAACAACGTTCCTACCATCAAACACAAAAGCAGGTTTCTGCATATTGTCAAAGATTTTCTTCAAGTCCAAGGATGTAAACTCGTCCCACTCGGTTAAGACACAAAGGCCGTGCGCATCTTTAGTTGTCTCGTAAGCATCTGAGACGACGCTCACTTGCTCTGATATACCTTCGGCTTTAATCTGTTGAAGATGAACCAGGTCGTCCCAGTCAAACCTAGCCATGGAAAGATCTCTCTTGATCTGCTCTTCAAGTACTTGTGGGTCGTATATGCTCAGCTTGGCCTGGTCAGCAACTAATCTGTTACAAACATCAATGGCTGGAGTCTCTCTAGTGTCACCTGTGTCCTTCTTGAAAGCAAAACCGAGGATCGCGATTTTCTTTCCTGAGACCGTGTTAAACATTGAAGAAACAACCCGGTTTGCAAACCGGACCTTCTGATAGTCGTTCACCTTTATGACTTGTTTCCAGTAATTAGCTGCCTCGGGCAAGCCGTTGCATTCACATATATAGAAAAGATTTAGGATGTCCTTTTGGAAACATGATCCACCAAAACCAACACTTGCATTCAAGAACTTGGGACCAATTCTAGTATCCGTACCCACGGCATGGGCAACTTGTTTGACATCAGCCCATGTTGCCTCACATAGAACTGACAATGCATTGACAGATGATATCCTCTGAGCCAAGAATGCATTTGCTGCAAGCTTCGAAAGCTCAGTGGACTAGAGATTGCGGCAAATGATCCGTTCCACGGGAACCCAATGAGCATAAACATCTCTTAAACCTGCAATGGCCTTTTTCCCTGCAGGAGTATCCCTACCACCAATTAGCACACGGTCTAGGTTATAAAGGTCCTTAATTGCAGTACCCTCTGCAAGAAATTCCGGGTTAGAGAGAATCTGAAACTCTATGCCTTTGCTGTTATGAGTCAATATCTTTTCGATAGCCTCTGCTGTTCTCACAAGAACAGTGGATTTCTCAACAACGATTTTGCTAGATTTGGAGACATCAGCGATCATCCGAGCGGCACTCTCCCAGTAAGTAAGATCAGCAGCTTTGCCAGCACCAAGACCTTGTGTTTTGGTTGGAGTGTTGACTGAAAGAAATACAATGTCACTCTCAAAGACATGCTTCTCCACGTCTGTGCTAAAGAAGAGGTTTTTCCCTCTGCATTGTTTCACCACATCGTCCAAGCCTGGCTCGTATATAGGAAGCTTAACATTGTTCCAGGCATGGATCTTTGCTTCAGAGATATCAACAACGGCTACTTCAATCTCAGGGCACTTAAGAGCCATCACCGCCATGGTTGGACCACCCACGTAGCCAGCTCATATGCAGCATATCTTCACCATTTCTGATTTTCAAAACTATTCCTGATAAAAAGTAGAAAGTTATGGTTTTGAAATCAGTCAATTATGCAAAGAGAAAACTTATAAATATAAACAACTACATGTCGGTGATTGCCACAGATATGGATTTGTCTCAGAAGATTGACCAATCAAAAATGCAGGTAAACTCGTAATCTGAGAATACACATACTGAATTGGACATGGAAAATCTAAACACATGGAAGTGTGGCATTAAAGCAAACACCTTGTAAACTCAGATCTATCTATTTCAAAATGATCACGGAAGAAGAGGCTTCCAGATTATAATTTTCCCACTACTTTTGGACAATGGAACCCGATTAATTGGGTTTCTTTGATCACAAAAAAGGACCTCAAATGTACAGGCATGAACGATCTCGAACAAGCAAAACGAAACCATCATTGATTATAAAGCGTGAACCTCCGAGGAAACGGAAAACAGCAAACAAAACCCATATTTTCAAACATGTAATCTCTCAATTCAAAACACCACAAACGCATAATGATCAACAAGGGGAGAAATTCACCTTCCGGTTCCTGTTCCCT